AATATTAATTAGGTTGTCATCAAAATCTCTAAGCCTATGCTACATATTTAATAACTACAAATGAAAATCATTCACCCATTTCTCGTAAATGATGAAATTTTGGCTCCTGTGAAAACCTCCTATAGCTCCTAATAAACGCATAAAGTGTGAACACCATAAAGTTGCATGATGCGTAAATTGTGCTGGCAAGAGCAACTTAGGACAAAAATGCTAAAAGTAATAGGTGTATGAGTGATTGGTGGCATGTGAAACTATTGGAAACGGCTTTTAGATCTTTAGGTGTCAACATTAAGCACACTAAAACGAAATTTATGTAGCTGCAATTTTAAAAGCCTTGTTAATCACTGGATATTGCGACTACTATTACTTGCATTTCCTTCATAGTATTATAGCCAATGTTTGAATTTGATGTGCAGATTTTGCGTGCCGATTTGCTTAGATAACTAAGCGCAGTTTGAAAACCAGTTACTTTGTAAGTAAAACTTCGCCATTTGCTGCTTAGTTTTCCTCAACTGCATACCTATGTACGCCTGCCCCTTGACCTTCACTGCCTGTACTTCATTTTTAGCATTTCGTCTTTCCAGTTGCTTCAATCACCTTACGTTGCATTATTAGGAAACAATCAACGCGTCGTATACATAACTCGGACACAAAGTTGATCGATCTTCGTTGGCTATTAGTAAAATGTTAATCTACCCTAGCAAACCAGCCTGTAAGAAGGACCAGGTTTTGACCAGCGTGTTCTCCATGTTAGTATATGATCATGTGCGATTAACTTAAAAATTTTACCTCGCTTACACCTACAGCATCTGAAAAGAACCCAGGAAAGTAAATGAGTCAGTAACGGGAGAACAGAACCAAGTGGAACGAGATCCAGAAACTGGACTTAATCCTATGATTGTGATGTGTTCCTCCTCTTTGCTCAATGGTATCATTTAATCCTCATTCCGTGCATTTCATAAAGGCACTGAGCGTCCAAATGTACGGGAACACCAACGGCATTGGAGTACAACGTCCTACAAACTCAATAAAAATGCTATTATTAATAATTCTCAATTATAAATGGTTTTCAAAGCACTGCTGTGACCAATTTACGAACCTAATGACCCCTTGATCTTCTTGGCCCTCCTACTTGTTGCCAGCAGATGTTCCATTCCACCCACTAGAAACCATTTAAGGCCTTCCTGTTTGGTAACTACTCTGAGTTTCTATTAAACGGCATTTACATTGTCAAAAGTGGTGCTAACTAATCCACTCGTCCTGCTGATGCGGTTAATAATCAAGTGTGATGCCATTTCAAGGCGCAATAATTTTCGCGAGCATCTTGCTACCCTTATTTTTTGTTATAGCACCATTTCATATGTACTGCTCAGCATTTTTTGGGTACCTGCCAGAGAATCACCATCATGGCAGTTTGCATGAAGCATTCCTCGATCCTAGATCTCGTCTCGTACCGTTATTGAGGAACTGCAAAAATGCTTAACTATCATCCATGGGGAAAGGAGAACGGCACAACTCCCTGCAGCACTAGCAGCCTTATGAGTACTTACTAGCGCATTACCAGTTCTCTCCTCAATGTTTTCTGTTAAGAAAGCAACTAGTGCACGTGCGTAGATCACAGTGGGAATCTAAAACGGAACCGAAGTACCCCTCATCCGAGAGACTCCTCTTGCCACCACTAGTCTTCAATCTGTAGTTCACACGTCCACAAATGCCCTGCCACCTATGATAAAATTAACAACATTTAACTTGGAATTAAAAATCGACCGCCAGACCGTCAACACAAAAACAGTGCTCGCATTGACAAAAGACAGCTCCAAAATCTGCTATTTCAATACCACAGTTGTGGACGTGAACGAGAGCTGGTTGACTATCATATGAGATATGTAACTAAAGCAAAACAATACTTCTTTCGGACATTCCTTCAATGATAATTTTGTAGAAATGTACACTAAAGAAAACTGTGAATTTGGTTAGCAAGTTCCACGAAAGCGGTAGCCGTTAATGAGTTGGGGTGAGAAATGACGACTGGCAAGCTATTTCCTTTCTTGTTTGCGAAATCCAGGTCAAAGGGAATTCGACAAAGTAGCGGTATCCCATATTGGTCAGCCAACTTGGCTGCACCAACTTCCTCGGTTGAGTCTGCAGCACACCAAATAGGAGTGGCAATCTTGCAATTCGGACACATAAAACTAGCCATATTTTCGACCATACCAATGATAGGAACCTGGATGAATTAGAGTGGGGGCATCAAAATGGGAACCAACCAGGATAAAACCAACAAAGCAGTTCATAAATTACATTAAGTTTTAGTAGCATTTCAATGCCACGCTGGGTACTGGATAACGACAATGGATGAGAAGTAGTAACAACGACAGAACCCTTGATGGGCACATTCTGAACGAGAGAGAGGTGAACGTCTCCGGTGCCTGGTGGAGTATCGACCACAAGTGTGTTTAAGGGACCCCATGCAACCTACCAGTAAGTTACAAAATTAGTGCATAAATACTTGGCGAAGTAAGGTTTGCACCGCCTTCATAACCATTAAGCCTCGCCAAATGGCAGCAGACTCTTTTTCAACAAGAGATCCGATTGACATACATTTGACTCCGTAATTTTGAAGGGGAACAATCTGTTTTTGTTCATTCGTATCAGGTTGAATGCCATTTACTCCCATCAATTCTGGTACAGAAGGACCAAAAACATCAGAGTCCAAAATGCCAACCTGATTTGAAGCCTGCAGCCTACTTAGCGCAACGGCCAAGTTGACAGCAATAGTTGATTTTCCTTAGCAGCAATCAGCAATAAAAAGGGAGCCACAAACCCACTCCTCCCTTTGCAGACGTAACCAGAACTATGCTGTCTACTCCCGCAATTGGTAGCTTCTTCGGAAGCCCTTTCCGCATTACGCTCCTGGCATGTTCAGATACAAACGTCGAAAACATGCGGCCGAACATCCGTGCAGATTGTTTGGTACAATTTCACACTTATGACCTTGATGTTATTATTATCTAAGCCCAATTATAACGCACAGTAATTTGGTACATAACTGAAAATTGCTTAACGAATTGCATCTTACTTACAGCAGCTATGGTTTCAAAAATGTTGGGTGTATGGTGATTTTAAGAAATGTAATATTCCGACGTCCATTAATTTCTTTCGATGGGCCAACCAGCGCTCAGCCTATTGGAGTTGTTCTTCGTCTTGGTAGTAAGTTGCAAAATCACGGTGTTACATTGTTCTTCTTCATACCTTAATTACTCAGTCAATGGTATGCCTTGTTGCAATGTTTCTTTGCTCAAACATCCTAGCATGTACATGCGGTACAATCTTCCTTAATTACTTAAACTTCTGGCCTATTTGGCGTATCTTACTGTTATGCGTACCGCAACGAATCTTCCACTTAGATTGATTAAGTCCTTGTTGTAGGTTGTTTATGAACACTGCGATCAAGTTCAGTAACCTCTAACTCACAAGGCAGTGGATTTTGAGATTATACACGGATCTCTATAACTCTTTACACTGATTTTGGCCGGAGTACGAAATTTGTACTTGTGAGATTGGTACTGCTGCATTTTGGACAGCAGAAGTCAAGCTTACGTCCTTGCTAGGTCAGAGTCAACTCTTGGATATGTTGCGAAAAACGAGCACCAGAATCCTCACTCAGTAAGCCATTTTGTATGACTTTGTCGTCCCATGTAGGAAATTCTATCTTGCAAAGTTGCCCTGTGCATCTTTAGAAGTGTCAGCTAAGATGGATAATTCTGAGGTTTCCAATTTCACCTCCCTTTGTGATAGATGGTGGGATATTAGTGGTAAGCATATTTAGTCTGCTTTGGTCAAACTCTGATGTGATAAATTCAAAAAACCCACGACTACTTGCTTTTCAAGGTGATTTTCGTATTCTACATGCGATGAATCCTATTCGGATTGAAATGATAAATTATCTATTTAAATATGAATCTCCAAAACCTTGGTATCCTCTGTACGGACGTCGAATTCTGGATGTTGGTTGTGGAGGTGGTATTTTGTCGGAGGTAAGACTCATTTTTGTTCACTATCTCCGATGAAGCATATTTCGCACCTCCTTACTGTGCCATTGGTGAATTTTCGACCATGGTACTTTTCGGTGTACATTACTGCTTACATCGCCTCTATGTTGCAAGGGATATTCTTTGTTTCCATCTGACTTGGTGGAAAGAAATTTGACTCTAATCATGGAGTATTTATTTCCTTGCAGCCTTTAGCTCGACTTGGAGCGAAAGTTCTGGGTATAGACATGTTGTCGGAGGCCATAGACGCTGCAGAAGACCATTCGCTTAGGGTAAACCCTGATCGTTGGAAAGATGCGCCCTTTGGTGCACCAAAATACCGAAACATGAGCACGTCGGAAGCGGCAGCTCAATTTTCTGAGAAGTTCGATGCTATCGTCGCATCCGAAGTTTTGGAACACGCATCTGACTGGAAGAATCTCGTCCGCGATGCTTCAACGTGTTTGAAAGTAAGTTCCGGCATTTTTAGCATTTTGACTACTTAATCTTCTGTAAACATAGTTGTCTATCTAAGTGCCTTCTAATATCTTATATGAAGTCATCTTGTGTGCGGACAGGCGCTTTACTAACTCTCAGGAATACAATCTTTCGCGTATTGATCGGATAATTTTTTTATTATTTCAGCCTGGGGGCCATTTCATTGCAACTACAATAAACAGAACTATACCATCCTATTTTTTGGGCATCATAGTTGCTGAAAAAATACTTAAAATAACGCCCAAGGGGATGCATGAATGGAACAAGTTTATAGAACCCTCCGAACTGAGTCTTGTCGCTATCAGAAGTAAGTCATTTCTTTGAGCGTTGCTCAACGTTTATAAATCTACTATTTTGACGGCTTCCAACAGCTGATTCCTCCTTTTTCCAGAACCTACGTTTGCACGTCACCTCAGACACTAATATTTGGTTCATGTTTCTAGATAGTTTCTTTCAAGCGGCTTCAGATTTTGTTCATCTTTATTGGGAGTTCTCTTATCCCCTTACGATTGTGCATCTAATCGAATGTTCGACGGTGTCCTCATCTTTTCCCCCAACTTGGCGATCCTTGGCTTTTCAAACAACTGAACTATTCTGCTTAGTGAACCTTATTTCCGTTCTAGATATAAGTGTCTGATTAATTTGTCATGTAAAAGCATTTTGTCTTGAAGGCCTGTATTCGAATTTAAATTCTGCTTGACAAAATCTGCTTCCTTGTTAGTTGGTGGGGCAACATCTTTGCTCCTAACTACAGATCTGAGTGGTTTTCAAAATAACTCCTATGCTGGACCCAGGCGTGGTAGATATGTTATTGACCCACTTCCCCCGATCCCTTCAATACCTCCGAAGACGAAAATAGTTTTTTTAGTACTTCTCTTTATCGTGTTTCGCTTGATTTTAGATAACCTCCAACCAAGAAAAGTACTTGGAATGGCCTACTGTCCCTTATCTAAAGAATGGCATTGGACTCGATCACAGGCCATAAACTACGCTTTCCACGCTATCAAAGTTGGACCTAGCAAATTCTAGTTTACCACTCCTGTAATATGCATACTTGTAAATGTTTTCTGTACTCTGATAGTTGTGACATTTTACATACTGCATTTCCTCTTCTCAATCACTTCATTTTGCCTCTTGGTTCCGAATAATCCAGGATCTTTTTCGTGGCGTTTAGGTTTAACGCTTTTTAGTGGACCAAAGTGGCAAAATCTGTGGTCGTATTGCTTTGGTTGATGCGAAAACATGAGGATATTACTATCTAGAGACAGCTTCATTTATCGGCGAGGTTCATGTGGTTCTTTCATTTTGATTTGTAATTGCTTGCTATGGTTTGGGTGAGGAACAGTTGTTTGAGTCGAGAGTCAAGGTAATCATCTTACGTAGTGTGGTCGAGTATAAACGATCTCATGAATATGAAATGATTTTGCACCTTCTGTAGTTTGACCGTTGAATGATGTGGCAGATTCCATGGAAATTTCGAATCTTACATTTTCAAAGGTGGTCGAGGTCTCGGCTCCAAAACCTGAACATAGTTTATTCTCTTCCTTCTTTAGAGTAATAGGGATGTCCATCGTGCTTGTTCCCGATTCAATTTCGTCTAATCTTCTTAATGGGATCAAGGGCGATAGTCGTGAGTCACTTTCATTGACCTAACAACTTTCAGTCACAGACGAAGATCTGCTAAGGTTAGCCGTATACTTGGCACGAATGCTCAATTCAGAATTCACGCTGCATTCGGAAAAACTACTTTTGAAGCACTCAATTTGCTCGAAGAAGGAGCTGTTATCAAAGACACTGCTCCGAGTGGAAGATTTGTTTATCAGGTATTTTTGGAGGAACTTTTCAATATCAGACCATTTTAGGTGAACCGCAAAGGCAATAGAACCTATTGCAGTAGAAATGCACACTTTTGTGCGTGCATGCAAGGAACAGTCTTTCAAGCATCTCCGTTTGGTCGCCCATGGGTTTGTTATTTTGGGCCATTAGAAGATTTGTTATGCTCTCATCTGGGGTGCTCAAGAAAGCCTGAATTTGCGGGTCATGTAGGCTGAGGTACTTCCATCCCCACATACGAAGTGTAGGTAGATATTGGGATCTGGAAAACCTGTATCCGATTTCGTATTTGGCTGTCGCTATTATTTAGCATGCCGGCCACAAAATTCCTATTTCTGTTACACGGTTCATAGTAAGCCTGAGTATTCCATCATCTTCTAGGTTGCTGTTTTTGTGGGCCAATTAATCAAATGGCCATTCCCGTATTTTTCATCTCTATGCCATCTTATTTAACCCAGTAAATTATGTGAGAATTTTCAGAGGATCCAAGGGAAGTTGGGTACCTAAGCTTGAGATGAGAATTTTCAAATTTTTTTAGGGAATATCCTCCCAAACCAAAACTTCGTTCTCATAATTGTTCTTGGCTTCAATTGACTTGATTACACGAGTTGATAAGGCTTCATTTTTCTAATATGGAGCTGTTATGGTGCAACATCGAGGTGAATTTATTTCAAAGAATGAATTGATCATTATTTTAAATTACTGTACGATCACTGCTCATATTTTCGCTTATTTAGAAATGCGACTGCATCTGTTTTCCTGTCGGCTGCTTTCAAGTGTTTTTTACTTTCAGTGTTCCCATCTCCTAACGGTGGCACTTTCGGATGCTCTAAAAAGAACGCAAAATAACACAGTCTCGGATCAAGCGTTGGTCCACGCTCTTGAAGTGCTCTTCGAAATTGTCTAGAAGTCCGAGTTTTAATCAATCTTTTGACAACTTGTGTTTACTTGACTGTTGGGCATTAAGATTTAATCAAACGACTTTCTTGGGTGTTGGATTTCACTGAAGTAGTGTCCAACTTATGTGTCCGTCCAAAAAGGGTTAGCTAGTTAAAACACGCTTCGCATTAAGGTGCCTCAACTCAAAGCCATCCAGGTTGTACATAGCGGTGGCTACCGCGGGACAAACTCTCCGATCCTAGTCAAATCCGCAGCACTAATTGCAAATTTAGGTCATTGGCCATTAAAACGGCTAGTGTTTTACGTTACATTTGTAAACAGGGCATTTCTTACTACATGTCGTAAATACTAACAAAACGTTACAATTTGTTCCTGATGTGTACTACTTTAAACTAAAATTCAGCGTCTCATTGCATGTGTTGTTTCAAGGCTCACTTTGAAGTGCATCTCGTGAATGCGGTAACCTGATCTGCAGCGGGCATTCTTACTTATGTTCCGTTTCACGTTTATACTGTTGAAGGGAGATAGAATTGTGCATTGGGCCACGGACAAGTCTTGACGGGCCCGGTGGCCAAATACGTTATTGATTTTGCTTGGGCAGACCTGAGTAACGGAGCAAAATTCCGATAGGGCGATCACAAGTCGGTGCACCAATGGGAACCCAGTCGACACACTTTCTCACGTAAATATGAATTTTAGTCGGTTTTCGACATTAATACATCTAAAGGAGACGTTGAGATTTGTTCAGTCAGAGCCTTCGGCGTGTAGACGTATTTATGGTCATGCAGTGAGTTATGCTTTGAGATAGTAGTGCCTGAATTTAGCCCTCCTTCTCAATGGAAACGCTTTGTACCATTCATATCTTGAATATCGACAGAGATCAACTATCTTACCTGTAAAATCCTCTAATTAGGGTTCCTTCCTGTGGGCTCTTGTTAAACGTTTGAATGATGTGGCAGTCCTAAAATCGAATAACGTGCTAACCCAGAGTGTTCCCGCGATGTGCAGTTTTCACTGTCCTACCGTACTGTAATGGTTTCTTTGCAAGCACCTATTCTCCTCAAACTTTTATTGCGAGTTTTGAGATAACTTTATGAAAACTACCTGGTAGGTTTAACTGCAAATCCACTGTAAAATGTGAAAACTTGAAGTGGCATTTTAAAGTTAGTATTTAAATTCTAGCGAACAGGATTTGACCTTCGACTCTGGTTTATCAGAAAGCATTGACTTTCCAACAGAAAACCGGCTGTTGTCATCAAGTGGCGTAAACTCAACTGTCAGCAATTCCATAAATTCGTCCTTAAGACACCAAGGCATTACTGCAATCAAACGGGATGAGAGTTCCTTTGCAGCATCCTCCTTTCTTCATTCGGGAAATGAGATTCAGCCATTTATCCCTTCAATGAATGAATCCATAGACGTTAACGAATATCGGGATGAAATTGAAAGAGAGAGTGATTTACACTTCCTTTCATCAGACAGCGGCTTCCAGGTAGCCATCAACTCGTCAAACGGAAGCACTTTGAAAGGAGATCTTTCATCCAACAATATCTCATCGCACTCTCTTCCCTCAGGCTATCCTGCAATCAATACTAGTCAGCATTACTCCTACCAAACACCTGTACAATTTCCACATGTTTCAGTAATAAATTCACACTCGACTCTTGGTCAAGTGCTAACAAGAAATAGTGATCCAAATGCGGCTCCTGATTCCCTAAATTCCCTCATTCGGTATCAGAGCGATCCTACTTCAGCTCCAACAATATCCGTTTCTGACACTGCTTACAGTGAGAAGAATATACGCTCTTCCAAACCTCAGCGGTTAATCAAGCGGCAAGACGTGAAACAAAATAAAGGTCGAGGGGAGGGAAACAAGCTCTTGAGCACACGAGCGACACAGATTTTGGAGGGGTGGTACGAGGCCAACACTGAGTGGCCCTATCCGACAAAGGCAGAGAAGCAAATGATGGCTTCAGCTGGGGCAATTACCATCGAACAGGTTAGTAGACATGCTTACCTCTTGCGACGCCAAGCTTATATCGTAGCTTCATTTATCGAAAAGTAGCTTTTGACGTCTATAACTATGTTGTCTTTTTCGAAATAGGAGCATTATTTGTGGTATCAAAGCAGTTCCTGATCAATGGAGTTTAACATTTCAGAACTCCTAGAGCTGAGTTCCTCTACTTTTCTTGAAATAGGTTAACTCTTGGTTTGCTAACCGCCGCAACAGAAGTCAGAATACGCGACCAAAAAAGAACATGATTAAGTTAGTTAACGCTCTATCAGGCCTATGCGATGAATACCAGGAGGTCTCTCGCGGCATCATCTCATCCTCAGATATGAAGAATCGAATCCTCGCTCTTATAAACTACCACTTACAAAGAAGGCAATAAATCGCCTTTTGAGGAGTCTAATTCTGCACTACAGTGCGTTGTATCAGTATGGTGTTTTGCCTTTCACTCTGAGGTGTTTGACCGTTGAAAACCTACTGCATCGGTCAGTTAAGGCCTTAAGAGTTTGGGTTAATCAAAAGAAACCAAAGCGCGCTGATTAAAATGACCAATCTGTGCAAACATTTTTTCCACCAATGTGCTTCTAGGCCATTATAATTGCTAAACCTAGGGGACACGGCTGGGCATTGGGTCATGGCCCAGAATGTGAATCTCGAGTACCCTCCTCAAAGGTGTTTAAGCATTATAACGGCGTCATAATGATGGAGGCAGTGATTTGGGGTGTTGATAAAGGCCTTTTCCGTAGTCGAAGTCCGATATTGAACGAGGGTCTCGTGCGTTCATCGACAGGTAATCGATGAGGGGTTATTGATCTGCCGCCCACGTGGCAATAACGTGGATATTAAAGGCGTTTCCATAGGCATTTAGCAACTGCCTCAACTTCGTTGAGACGTAATCACTAAATCTTTTTGCTAAGGCTTTGATAGAATAAAAAATAAGCAAAAAGTTCCTTGCCTTATTGAACATGAGGAAGTAATGACTTCTAATGTTACCGCATTAGGCGCTTCCTCATCTATCTAATTTCGTATTAAGTTTCAGACGATGCTTGAATTAGATTTGCATTTACCACTTAAACCATCATAGAGGTTAGGCAGATGCTAAAAAAATTCCAAGTAGAGTTCTGCGTCTACCCTGAAATCGTAGTAATTCAAAGCGGACAGAACTTAGAATCTAAGTGGCTGATGTAACTACTGTTCTTACTGGAATGCCCAATCACAGCATTGCAGAGTTAAGTCAATG